CTCATCAATCATTGCTCCACAAAATGAAGTTACAGATATGAACTGATTAAATGTTCTAGTGTTTAGGTATTTACAATCAAGGCACGCTATAAATGAACACCACAATGGAGGATATGTGACAGAAGCTGAAAATACTAAAATTATCTCTATGGATAATTTATGCAGTACTTTATCATCTAATTGTCCAATTTGTGGCCGCATCTACATCTCTCATAGCATATATTTGGTGATTTTTTTTTGTCCTTTACCCTGCAGCAGTGCCTCAAACTGGCAGACTACCATTTTACTGCAGCCAACTCCCCTTAATAAAGCTTGTGTATGTTCCAATCATAGCTGCAGATCTAATTAAAGACTTACATTAATTTTAATCTAAATCATTCGCAGTTGTCATGAGTTTCATCAAATCTAAATGTAAAGCATTCTGTGATAATTAGAAAAGCTTAAACATTTTTGGGAACTATGCTGGCCATGCATGTGTGATGTAGCGCTGCAATGTGCCTCGGCAGTCTTGTGGATCAGTAGTTTGGCTGAGAGTCTGTCGCACAGCAGAGTTTCTCCAATCCAACAGTTGAGTGGCTTGTGTTTCTATGTGTAAATCTTCTGCCTCTCTTACCGTCAAAACCATCGCTTTAATAGATGGCAAGTCACACTTTTCACCACGTGACATGGCACAGACATGTATGGTGCTAAGTACTCATACCTCTAGATTAAAGACTTCAATGGGATATTGGTATAAATTTAAATCTTTAATTGTGGGCACGTCTGCATAGGATGCTTTTTGTCTATTCTTGCTGTAAAGTCTTGTCACAGATTCAGGTCTGGATCTGATCCATCTTCACATATTACACTTTGATTTAAACCTCTCGTTGCAGCTTTGACTGTATGTTTAGCATTATGCAGAGTTAGTTTTTAATCCCACACAAATTTTGTACATTTGGTCTCAGCTGCTTGCTGTGTCCCCTACAATTTTTGTTGCAAACTGCAGCGTTCCCATGAACCTTTGGTTGCTTTTCTGACTAGCGCTCCTTTCAGCTGCAGGTAGACACCCATGTCTATGAGTTTGTGCTGTACCTATTCATTTCCACAGGGTGGACTCACCAGTGCTCAATGAGATGTTCGAAGTTTGGGCCAATGTTTTATAACCTGTTCTCCCTTTAGCTTCTCCATAACTTCCTCCTTGGTGTGTTTAATGACCTCATTGGTCTTTGGGATGATACAGAACAGCTGCATTTTTACTGAGGCTAAATTACTCTCTGAGTGACTATTTATGCCAAATAGACTTCGACTAAAAGCAAGTGTCTGCACTGGATTTTACTTGGAGGTATCAGAGTAAAAGGGGAGGTATAGATGGTCGCAACACTTTCCTGAATTGTATTTGTAAAAAATAATAATAATAATAATAAAAACCATCATTTTTCTTTCACTTCCTAGTTATGTGCCACTTTGTGTTTGTTTATAGAATTAAATCCTGTAAACTACATTAAAGCTTGGAGGTTGTCAATTAGTGAAGTGCCAAAATGTTCAAGAGGTGTGACAACTTTTGCAAGGCTCTGTACTCACCAAAAGAGACCGATGGAAATGCTCACTAATTATGGTGGAAATACTGAGGAGACTGAGCCGGTCGTTAATGAACTAGCACAAGGTCTGGATTCGTGTAGCCAAACAAATATGAAGTAAAAAAAAAAAAAATAGTCAGAAAACTAAAATCAACTTGTTGTGAATATAAGTCGGACAAAAAGAGTGAAAAGGAGCCAGAAAAGTTTTGTCTCCGCATTAGTCCAGTTCCCGGTCCCTCTGTGCGACTCAGCACCCCCCAGAGGGTCTGTTGTTTAGGGTTGCACAGCCACCCAGGCCTTGATGAATTTCTCCCCCGTCAACAAATTAAGAGCTGCTATTGTTGCAGTGACAACAAGGCATCTCGGTCGCCATGGGGAGCGCCATGAAGACCAGTGACAGAACTCCTGAATCCTCCTAATCATCCCCAGCTGTCAGGAAGCACCTGGCCTGACACCTCTGCTTAAAACCTGTCTCCCAGGCATAAGATAATTACAAGTGCCAGCAGAGGAAGAGAGAGAAGGCAGGAAGAGGGAGAGCTGGTGGAGTGGAGGGATAGAGAGAATTCTTTCTTATAAGTGGCTGTGTGAGGAATGGAGTGCTGGAGCTTTTCCAGACAAGTTGCCATTGAAGTAGAGGAAGTGTTCAAAGGCAAGAGTGGAGTTGAGAGTGGGGAGGTGTCTGGGGTGTCTCCCCTCTTTGCTACAGAGAAGGCTTGGGAGAGGGTCCCTAGATAGCGCTGTGGGGGACAGGTGAGGGACGGAACTGTCAGTATGCCCACACTGGAAGACATTTTAGAAGAGAGGGACTTTTTTTTTTTTTTTTTTTGACTGGCCAAGTACAAATACTCCACGGATTGGTGAAGGGGAGGTGGAGGCAGTTTGTGGAAAAGTTACACTAAACTTATGCAGACTCGGTTCTGATGTGCAATACACAGAGTTGCTGGTGTAAATAGAGTAATGTCTTGGAAAAAAAAAAAATTCAACAGATTCTCCAAAAAACAAACAAATAATAAAAAACAACCCCTCAGTGCTGACATCCAAAACTGACTCCCTGTTTCTGTTGCACAGCGCTCGTGTCACACCGGCCCCTCACCAGAAACGGGTTGATTGGTAAGTGAGAAAATACTTGTTAGATCAAAAACACCAGGCTGCTGAGGAAGAGCAGACCCTCGCATTTTACCCAAGCTTGCACACATGCAAAAACACACACACACGCACACACACACGATTGCATTTCATTACAACCTCTCATTTCTCTAGCAGCAGGGCCTTCCTTCAGAATGGCACTCCTGTCATCGCAGCCACGGGGGGCTAAATTATTCAAATACTCTAATTCTTCTCTTCTTCCTCCCACCCACCCTTTATCTTTCCAGCACTCTGCCACTCATAATTTGTCTTTTCATTTTTGCCAATTTAGAGGCAATCCCTCCCATTAATGATGCCAACTGTTCTAAACGGCGCTGGAGCTGAGCTGAATGGAGGAGGAGGAGGGAGATGTCAACGAGACGGAAGCTGCACGCAAGCGGCGAGGACAATGCTCGGGATTTTACAGGCTGCTGTTCAGATATAAATGGATGATATACCGACTTCCACCCGTCGCTCGCTCTCGCCCTCCCACACGCTCTGATTCTTAAAGCAGGTTTTGTTTTATTAACTCTTCTAAATGTACATATGTGTCTTTATTTGCCTGTCACACGCAAGCATATCTGGGAGATTATGAAATACGTCTACATCTGGTTGTCGTGCAGACTGCGCTCAGATACATAAAAGTCATGACTTTATTTTATTTTATTTTTTCATTTTTATTTTTTTTACAAAGAATCAATTAGATCATATACTTTTATGGTGGCGCCTTTTCCATTGGCAAGTCATCTGAAAGCTGCTTGCTTCTTTGTATTGACTGAATGAAAAGTAAATAAAACAGCCTGCATCAGGAGGAACATTGATGATGCAGCAAAATGGCACTTAAGAATATTATTATTGTTCTTTTATGTCTTCTCCAGAGAGCAGCTACACCTGCAAAAATATACAGGAAATCACATTCAACGCATGAATATTGGAGATTGAGAAATAAGTAATACTTTCACATCAACCGATGAACAGGACAAATAAGATTAAAGTTTCATCTTTGAGAAATAAACGTACCTGAATCTGAAGCTGCATGTGTATTTATAATGATAATACTAAAAAATATGGTTCTCATAAACCCACCATAAAAAATACAAGATGCCCTCAGATTTAAACTTAAATTAAAGAGTCTTGTAGCTCATCCAACAAGTTAAATTTGTTTCCACTTTTTTAACTCTCACCTGTTAAAAATAAATAATAATAAAAAAAAATCATAAATAAAAATAAATATTTGCCAGTTGACACATGTTGGACCAAAGTATAAATAAAGTCCCAGCATTAAACGATTGAATATTCAGTGTGTTACAACCTTTTATTAGTTTATTTAATTGAACAAGTCCAGTTTCAGACGGCTCTCAGATCTTCATCGTCTCCACAGCCTGCTGCTGCCAGCACAATGGATTAAACTTAAACCACTGAAGCTCCTATGAAGAAAATGATTTTCTTCCAGAGTAGGCGCATCAGACTCCTTTTCATTCCAGGCCATGTTAAGATCATGAAAGTCCTCAAAGGGCTGGTTGTGCCAGGATGTATTTATAAACCCCTCTAACAAATTGCTAATTGATGCTCGTTGGCATTGGACGAGTTCTTTCGAAAATGAAACAATATTGAACATCTTTTCACAAGATGTAACTGGGCAATAAGCCGACAAAAACTCCTTTGATCTGAATGATAAAATAATATTTAAGCATGCACCTGTTTTTCGTGGCCCGCTAATGTCTGGAGGGACACTACGGCTTTATTCGTCCCCTGGACTTGGCCTTGAGTGTGACATGCACTCTGTAGGGTGACTGGACTCAGATTTAGAGAGATGAGTCTGAACTCATTGTCCTAAAGGAGTTCAGGGTGGCGCCGCTGCTGAGGTTGTCTTGGTTTCTGATCTAAATGCCTACCAGGCACCGCTCTTTGTTTTTTTGGTTATGTCCCAAACCATGGATAAAACCTCCAAACCATTATGACCTAATCTCAGAGTCCAGTTTGAGACGTAAAGTGTGTTGTGTATTAAACTTAAATCGTCCCTAAGGCATGATGCTGCCACCACGTGACAAACACAAACTACATAAACTGAAAGAAGTGTTTTTTTTGTTTGTTTGTTTTTTAGATGCACATTTAACATGGCCCACATCTCTTCAAGAAAAGAAAAAAACTCATGAATGAGACACGTAAAAGACACATTGGGAAATACTAGACAGGCCGAAGGGGAGGGAAGAGAGCTGCAGAATAAATATTGATTGGTATAAGAAAGAAGGGTGAGAGACTGTGGGTAAGCTGTGTGATGGAACTGTGCTGCTATCTTAAATGAGGAATCCCATATGAAGGTCTGGATTAACCAAATTTAATCCCTCATCAAACAGACAATAACAGTGCACCCTAATCCCCTCCCCCAGTTCTCAGATTAGCAGCGCTCCTACTCTGCTCCCATCTTGGCAGTGCATTGGGCCCGGTGCTGGCTGGCCCGTTGAGCTCTCCTCCAGAATGACCTCTGGATGAGGAAGAGGCACACAAACAGCAAGTCTGGCTCTAATGGACACCATTCTGATCAGGTTTCTGCAGAAAAACAGCAGTAACAAACCAGTAGTTAATCCTTACTATTTTGGAAGTAAGGATTTTATGTAAAATTTAAGAAATGTAAGAGTCAAAATATTTCTAAAGAAAATACAGCGTGAATAAAAACATTTTTAAAAATAGCTGGAATTTCAGGTAAGAAAAAAAAAAAAAAAGCTTTTAGAAAAACATTCCAGTCAAGTAACTTTTGAGGACCTTGGTTGTACCACAAAACCTGCAATTAGAACTTGAGATAGGGGTTGTAATTACCTTTCAGAGCGAGAACCCTGGAGTAAACAAATATGTTCATCAAGCAAATACAGGATTACTGCGTATGAGCTCATTTTACTCCATAACGCATCCGATTCAGCTGGGGAATGCAAAGCACAACACGAGGCAAGAGGCAGAGTGAGACGGAGGGAAACTGAAAATAAGAGGCGCGTCGGAACAGAAACTGCTGACGCGCGGGCTTCTGCGCCTGCTGGATAAGTTGTTTCTTCAGATAAAACATAAATAGGCAAAAGCTCATTTGGAATATGCATGTTTAGGTGAGACATATTTATTTTTGTTTATATTTATTTCTAGTTTGGATTTTCTAAAGTGTTATCTGAGATCAGTTTTATTCCTGAAGTTGATTGAGACACATTTAAGAGTTTCACATTCAAGAATCGGGCTTATGTGTTTATATAACAGTTCGACACGCCGCAGTAACACGTAACTGAAATAAAGCTGTTGTTAACTTTAGTTTTGCTGATGAAGTCCAGTAAAAAAAAAAAAAAAAAAAAATTTCAAAAAAAGCCGAATTTTTGATTTAAACATCCTTTGACCACTGCAACTTGGTGCAAATGCTGAGTTTAAGCTTCTCTCTTAATTAAGGTAATTATGATTGAAGTATGGCCTGTTTTAGTGTAGCCTTGAGGCAAACAGGCCTGCATTTTTTGCAGCGCTTGCCTGATAGTCGAGTTGGTGGAGGTAGAAAAACAACCTGGAATGCTGCAGGCACACAGAGACAGGTCCTGTGATGTCTGCTGACCTGTGGAGACCCTGCGTGTTCAGGTAAAGATGCACAGAGACGATCAGACGGATGTCTTGACAAAGACAGAGAGTCTGTGCTGGTTGAAGATAGGGCATGGCAGAATGCTTAAAAGCTCATTTAGAGGCCAGGGAACAAGATTGTTATGCACAAACACAAATTAATTGAGGAGAAAGGTCTGTTGTGAACTTAAAATGAAAGGAATTGGAGTTGATTTTCCTGGAAATATTGTGTGTGTTTTTTTGGTTTTATTTTTGCAAGTTAACCTGTTTTCTTGTTTTGCTGTGACATCCACCAAGATAGAGCTTATCAGAACGTTAAAGGGATGTAACATGTTAGTTCTTCTTTTCTTCCTACACTAAATGCAAAACACACACTATTGCTGCAGATATGAAAGACACCCTGCAAAAGAAATTAGTCATATCGAGTTAATTCCCTAAATTTGTATTCCCTTATTCTGAATTTGTCATTACATAAAACTGTGGCCCTATCCTCAAAAATTATATTTTACATCGAAAGATATTTTAGATGTGTATTGTGCAAGCCCATGAAAGTTTATGTTTACAAATTATAATAAGTGATTTGGTCCTGCAGTTGATTCTTATCTCTCAACTTAAAGTTAAAAACACCATTCTGCACATTGTGAAGCTTTTACCTAAATGTCTGAGCCTGTTCAATATCAACCTTTAAAAGAAATCAAACTGGAACTTGTTACCCTTGATTATTTGGTGTCTGACTTAAAACGGAACATTCCTCGTAGTGTGAGAAGTGCTTGCATCAGAAGGAGATGCAGATTTTTGTTTTTTGTGTTCATGTCAGTCTCTGTGTGTGTGTGTGTGTATGTGTCTGTGCGTTTTTTTGTATTGGATACATTGTAAGGAGTGTTGATTTGAGTTTAGGTTAGGAGTAGGGTTAGACATCTACTAGTAGTAGTCAGGTTTAGAGCAAAGGTCAAGTGTAGGGAAAATGTCTGGGTCAGGCAAAAATGCAGTTACTAAAATGAAAGAAAGTCAACACAAATTCCTCAGTTTGCATGGAAGTACAAGGATGTGTGTGTGTGTGTGTGTGTGTGTGTGTGTGTGTGTGTGTGTGTGTGCGGGTGTGTGTATGTGTGTGTGTGGTTAACCAGGCGTAAAAATGTTGTACAGCTGCCAAGAACTGTAAAGTAGCCCCTTCTGATATCAGTTATTAATATTTAACTGTCCACTATTAAAGTTTAAGGTGGCTGTGAGTGAGCTGGGGGAAGAAGAGGTTACTGACCGCACAACACCATAAACACTTCCACTGAAGTGTGTGACAGCGTTACAGCGTGAGACCACTGTGTGTAGATGTAAAGTGTGTGATCTGCAGATCGTGGCTGTATTTTTGCATGAACTTGACCGAGACTAACATTAAACCACAACATATAAGAGATAGTATTATCTTTGGGGAACAACTTCAACACTACATCCGTTTTTTTGTGTGTTTTTTTTATGTAAATACAGATTGGACAACCAGTTTCCTTTGGCTGTATTTCTTGGCCTGTGATTGTCACATTTACTGCTGCCGTGGAGAGAAAATAACTCAAGTAATTTTCTTTGTCATAAAACTTCCATGCATGTTTTTATGTGTAAACTTAGAGTGGATGTAATCAATAAAATCAAATATGATTTACTGTGATTTATATCCATTGTACTTTTATGAATGCATGCAAGATGAAAATGAAACACGTTTCCTCACATATGTTGTACTCAGCAAAACAGCTTCCAGAACTGCTGGTCTTCATGTGTTTGGAACTTTTTGTACGGATGTTTAGTAGCTAAAGTGTTAGCTTAGTCTTTTACTAATTTCTTTGTGTGTGTGTGTGTGTGTGTGTGCTTCCTTTCAGAAGCGCCTGCAACATGTCCTCCTGCTAAGATTTTAGGGTGAATGAGTCAAACCAAGGTGAACACAGGAGGAAATGCAATGTGAAATCCAGCGCTGTTCCTGCTCTCTCATGAAGAGGTGCTAAAAAAGAATAGGCTGGTTGGCTAAAAGTGAGCATGAAAAATACCCCACCTCCACGTTGACCCACATCATCCATTATCTGGGGTGATTATGAGAATAGAACAGCCTTATGGGTAGCCTCAGTTCCAGGAAACAATAGCTCACTGTCAGGATGTGTTTTAACTGTAGGATGGTCGGCTTTATTATGGTTTGATCACTGAAGCCTCACTTTATGTCTCGGTAGCCATCTTTAGTCCGGATGCAAGACCAGCCAATGACCTGCGTGAGTTTATATTTGGGTAAAGGAAGCAACAGCTGTGCACTGTATGGCAGTTTTCAGAGGGGTCGCCACAATAAAAACATTATAGCTCAGAAGGTTTCTAATAGATGTGGCCTTCACGCGATTCCCGTTTATTTCTCCACCATAAAAAAAGATATTGAAAATAAGGTGTATATTTCTTATACTCTCTATGTCACAGTTTTTTTTTTGTTTTTTTTTTTTGATACATTATTCATTCATGCAAATAACAGTGCTCTTCTTTAGGAAATAACAGAGGAATCTAAATCTTTCTAAATGACTCTTTATAATCAAATTTTCATGAATGCAAATGCAGGCAAGGTTTCAGCGTAATTCTGCGCAGGAATTAAACTGAGTTGGTCGGGCTTATCTTAATAGCTGATCTCAGCTCTGTGGAGCCGGCATTAAGTCTGCAGGTCGAAGCAAAGCGAGCAACGCAATCACAGCTTTGCCTCCTCTAGCGTAGCTTACTCCGGCGGCCGGACCAGAATTAACACGTGTGTGGACACGCACACGCAAACACAGACACAAACCCCCCACACCAAATGCTTCAGTGGATTCCAATATGATGTTTCTGCTTTGATATCACCAATATAATTATAGCAGGTTTATTATTAAGGCAGATAATGTTCAAAATTAAATGTTTCAATTTTATTTAGAATTGTATCGGATTTTTAGTCATTTGTACATTATTGACATCTTTATAGATATAATACAAGTTAAAGCTGTTTATTCCATCAGACAATTATATAATGATAATATCTTAAAGCATACACAAAGTACTTTCTTGTCAACTTGACGTTTTGGTTAAAGTAAGTTGCAGGAACTTTATGTACTTCTAGATAGTACTCCTGAGTACTACTAGAATACTATGATATATTACATTACAGCTCCAGTCTGCATACTGCATGCACACAAGAATTTAAAAAAATGTACTCACATGACTCCACTGCCTTGTGCTGTCCGGTAAAACCAGTAATATGATTACTCAGATTCTGTCACAACACAAATCTGTGCACTTCGCTTGACCACTTCAGTAAAAATACTCTGATTCATCATACAGTTTCTGAATGCATGAATTATCACGTCAGTCTAAGTTCTACCTTTACAGACGTCCTGCCTTTGTCTCTTTACCGACACAGTACCTTACTTCATTTCATCTTAATTCTTAACTTCTAATCTTCTGTTTTCTGAACTCAAGTAGTTCCTTTTAAAGAACCATGATTTGAAGAAATGCAGATTTATAGCTGCATGGACCAGAAAAGGGAATCAAAGTGTTATGGACATTTGATTAAACCATCATGCACCGAACAGTCTCCTGTCTCAATGTTTCTGCTCACCTCACTTTGTTGACAGCCACTGAGTGAGAAAGACTCATGTGAGATTCTAAAGACGTCAACACACTGATTCAGTACTGATGCTGTACAAAGACTGGGGATTGAAAATCTGACTAAAGATTCTCATTGGTGCTTCTCTTGTGTTTTGTGTTTAGCTTCCAGTGCTGAAGAGGAAGCAGTGGTCCCTTCGCTCTATTCTAGCACAAAGTGACTCAAAGTAACTGCCAGTGATAACTAGTAATTACATCCATTTAAAATGTGCATTATTTTACCCCTGCATTGAATAAACTAGTGAGGCAGAAAATTGTCCAGTTTTATCCTCTCCTTTATAAACACTCTTTTTTTTTTCTTAAGACTGCGCTTATTTTTGACAGGTTTCATCCTTGAGTGAGGCTAAACATTCTTGAGGAGTTTTCACGTTAATTGTTATGGTGACAGATGGACAGACGAAGTCAAGCAGACGGAGGGTCGGACGCACATTCGGTCACAGTAAAACACACCGGGCCAAATTAATCTCTCCAGTTCGCCACAGTGGTTCTTACACCAAGTCACTGAACTTTGACAGAGGATTCATCTATTGAACCCCAAGACGTTCGACTAAAAATATTATTTTCACCATTTCACAAAGAGAACATGATTTCCTGGGTGGAAATATATTTGAATGAGCTTGTGCTGTCTATTCACTGACAGAAGTTTCTCTTAATACCAGTCTGGCTCTGTTCGTATATGTGTGGACTTATTGTATGGATGTGGCACAAAGAGTGATAGGAG